GCAGTTTTCTAGTTGTTTTGTATATCCTTTTAGGGTATTCTTTATTTTTTTTGCTCAGCGCGAGGCCACGTATATTACAGGAGAGTTCCTATTTACATGTCATATCACTGTGCCATTTAATTAACTTAAATCTCCACCTCTAATATCCAGAATGCAGTGGGCCTCAGGGGCGATTGCCAAATATATCATGCTACCTAAGCTAAATAAGCAGGTGCGGCGTAAATAATCAAATAACAGAGGGTTTCTATGCCCGTGTTTTACCTTTGCTCCCCTGTTTACCGTCCTGTTGTATTGAATGCAAAACATCGCTTTTTATCGAAGAGTGTCTTTTGGTCTTTTATCGTTTTCTATATGCGTTCAAGCGTAGGGTGCTCGAATAATGAGCTCTTTAATCTTTGAGTCAGACTTCACCGCATGCATGCATTTGGGTACACCTGCTCATAGTGTAGGTAAACAGTTACAACGGATCTACTTGTTTTTTTGGCCTGTTTAAAACGTCAGGAAGAGTTTCTCATACATTTTTACCGGTTTATAAAACTGGAGTATTAACTTAGGTCCAAAAAATTGAGAAGATTTTAGTAGTTTTGCTGCCAATGAGGCCCCCCTTTCTCTTGGCAATGATCCATGCCGACAGTGCGTGGCTGACTGTTATACGTCTTAACTTTAAAACCAGCATGAAAACAGTCGTCCCTAGTGTATCTTAATCTTTGGGGGAGCAAAGATAATTTATGTTTCACCTTGCAATTCCTGGTCCAAATGTCTTCTTCAGAGTCACACTGTAAATTACAACAAATAACCAATGTTAACGACGAAGGCAGGGAGTAGCTGATTGATGCGTTACTGTTATTAGCAAGAAATGGTCGATTGAAGTCCATTTAAAGTTACTGTATGGTTAGCTTTTGACGGCGAGTTGAACTAAAATGCTCATTTATGGAGAGGGGGAGGTGTTGACGAAGGCGAGGAAGTCCTCTCGTTTGTGTGCGGTAATAGTATCCATCGTAGGAAGTTAACCGACAAGGCTGCTGGGCCGGCTACTTCGTACTGCCCCATCTTCGGTCATAGCACTTCTATTACTTATACAGACTAAGTAGACAGTCATAATTGCGCGAATAATGTGATCGACCCCTAATGTTGCATGAAACCGCATACATCTATTTTTTTTGGATTATGCCACGCATTATAACTCAGATAATTGGCGAGGCCAATTAACATGAGCCAATGAGGTGGGATTTAG